GTTTCCACCACCAATAGACTGTCCTCCTCATGGTCGGTTAGCAGTTGTTTTTGCCTCAGTTGTTCCACGTCGGCCGCCTTCAAGTCCACCACTTCGCCGCCGAAGGAGTTGCCTTTGACCAGCTCGCAATAGCCGGTGTTTTCCCGCTTGCTCAGATAGACATTGCGAGCCTCAAAAATGTCCTTCGGGTTGAGGCTGTCCTCCGCCAACTCATCCTCACTTTTCAACAAAACGTATCCGTTCTGACTGTCGACCACGCCGTCTTCGCTGCTGGTTTCCGTCGCTGTGTCCATGTACTCGATGCCATCCAGGTTGCGACTGTGCAGCGCCTCCAAGCCTTTGCCGCAGACGTGCTGATTTACTGCCTCATCAAACTCGCTCAGTTGCGCCATTTTAATCGGTCTTTTCCGGTCGCACGACTGATGGCTGATGTCCAGTTCGATGCTGTCTGAGACGGTTTCGTCTCGCGCCCAATCAGACAGCTCGGTTTCGGTGAGAGCCGCAGTTAAATCTGGAGAGCTTTTTCCGCTCACCGTTTTCTGGCTGCGGTTCTCCTCTGCAGAGTCCTCCTTGTCCAGCTTCAGCTTCACGTGCAGGGCTTTGTGGATGTCGGGCAACACGCTCTCCAAGTTGGGCAACGTCTTCGGCTGGTTGAGGCTCTTTTTTTCGCTGGTGATGCTTTTGGAGCTTTCAGCGGCTGTGGGACGGCGCTGTTGCTCTGTTAGGGAGTCCAAAGCCATCTCCTCCTTATCGCTCTCCTTGGCGGCATGCACTTCCACTCTGGGTATGGGGAAGTTGGGGGTTTTGGGGTCGTCGTTGTCGCTGCAGCTTTCGGACATGGACAAACTGTCGGAGGAATGAGTGGGGTTTTGTTTGGACCAATCGATCGAGGGCACTGCGATGGAGGTTTCATGCACCGGGCTCCTGGGTCGATAGTCCATATCGGCACTTTCCGTGCTTTCCATCGCTGTGATGGTGATATCCGGCGGAGGGAGTTCTCG